TTTTTTTGGGGGGTGGGTGGGGTGCCACGCACAGGATCCGCCCCGGGTGCCAAATGTTCTAGGTACGCCCCTGCTGTCATAAGTGATTGAAAATAAAAAAATGTTTTAATGCTGGCTGTGTGAGTCATTCACAGGGGAGGTGTGGTTAGGGGCAACATTATCAGAAACATAAGTGACAATTTCTAAATGGCAGAGAACTGAGTAGTGATACTGCAGGAGCATGATCTATACAATAAAACTGCTTCAATAAGCTAAACATGTGTTGGTGCTTAGAGTTTTCCTTTAAGAAGGTGGATCATAAATAAACTCTGTATATACAACATGCAGGTGAGATTAAACTCCACCAAGCACAGTCCTAACCAAAACCTACTGCCCTAGATCAGAATTTTAATGGAATTTATTGTGGTCATGATCATTCCCATTAAATAATTGGAGTGACCCAATACACAGGACTTGAAATAAGTAATGTCCAAAAATTGGAGATACAGAATCAGTGCTTCTTTCAAATGGCCAGACTTAATGTGGTGCCTATGGAGACGCAAGATTAGGTCAAAAGAGTATAGAAGTTAGAGAACTGAGAAGCAAATGCCAAATAAAAAACAAAACACGCCCAAGCTAGGTAAAGTATCAAAAATGGACTGATAATATGAATACCCTCTTGAGAATACTGCTAAATCAAAGCAGGGCAAATACATTATCATTTGGAAGATTTAAAGAACATATGAAGAGTTTAAATTGCCACAGGTAAATCAGCTTAGTTTTATGTAATTCATGCAAGCCTAGAATATATGCGTGTATTGCTGCAAAGATAATACCCCAGTCCCAATTATCTCTATTAGCTTGGTATTATTATTAATATTATTGGTATTTAGATAACTCCAACTTATTGTGCAGTGCCTTGCAATATTATAAATGTTTCAATAAATGGGACAAGAACAATAGGTTGATAAGATCCCTGCTCAAATGAGCCTACAGTCTAGAGAAGATGCGATCTAAAAACCAAATAGGAAGAGCATTAAGGGGGACAGCAAATAAACAAGGTGGAAAGTAGCAGAACTAGAGGGAGAGAGTAAGACACAGGTTTGTAAAATAGAAGTCACACTGGGAGGCCATAAGCTGAAAAGATGAATTTTGAGGAACTCCTTAAACAATTAAAGACATGGGGGGAGTATGATAGACAGGCTGTCCCAAAGGAAAGGAGACACCTGAGAGAAGTCCTGCAAGTGTAGACAGGGGAAGGTCACTGGCAGCAAAGAGTCCGAGAAGGGGCAAACCTACAAATCTGTAAAGAAATATAAAAGGGGCTAGAGGTGTTTAGAGCTTATTAGGTATGGGTTAGTATTTTGAATGCACAGCTATAGGATACAGGAAGCCAGTGTAAGGATCGACAGAGGGGAGAGGTGTGAAAGGAGCGAAAGAGAGAATGCCTGATGTCAGCATTCATTACAAACTGTAGCAAGGCAGTCTGAGCTTCTGGGCAGACCAATTAGGAGAGAATTACAGTAATCAATTCGAGAAAATACTAGAGCATGAACAAGCATCTTGCATAAAAAAGGGAAATACGTGGGCAATGTTTTTGAGGTGAATCAACAGGTTTTAGCAACAGGCTGGACAAAGATAACACCAAGACAACAGGCTTGCAAGGACGGGCTGATTCAGGTACCATCAACATGCACGAATAGCAAAAGAAGAGGATCAGCATTACAAGGTGGGAAAATAAGAAACTCAGTTTTAGAAAGATTGAGTTTCAGGAAGCGGGAGGACATCCAGTAAGAGATGGAAGAAAGGCAAGCAGGGACATGTTGTAGGACAGCAGGGAAGAGATCAGGGGAAGAGAGAAATATGTCTGAGTATCATTAGCATACATGTGGTAGCAGAATCCAAATGAATAAATAAGTTTGCCAAGTGAGGCAGTATAAAGAGAAAACAAAAGGGGACCAAGAACAGAGCTCTGGGGGACTCCAAC